ATCAAAACTCAAAGGGCTTGGCAACTGATTCATACTTATGACGGCTGCAGTGTCTCAGGGTCATGTATTCCCCATTGGCAAAACTTCTGATGAACAAAGTCAATGGGGAATTCACTTAATCATCATTTTACTAACTTAACAACTGAAGCCATTCACTTGATAACTGAGGTAGGAAAGGGCCTACAATCAGTCAAATTTAACAAATGTCTCACTTAGCAACATAAATTATGGGCTCAACTGTGGTCCTCACTCAAGGATTACTTGTAATAGGTGGAAGCTTGTTAAAGACAGATCCAATCTAGAAGTGAAGAGAAGTCTTCTGACGGTGAAAACAATCAGTGGAATAGCTTGCCTCCTGGAGTTTTGAATACTCCATCACTGGAGCTTTTTAAAAATAAACTGGACAAGCATTTGACCAGGATGGTATAACCTTTTTGGGCACCGAGTGCTGAAACGGGAGCACACCTGTGTGCGCATGTGCCAGAAACCGGAAGAGTAGCTGCCTGGTGCATATACACGTGCAGGGAAGGTGATCTTCCAGTTTCTGGCGTGCACATGCGCAATGGCCAGCTAGTCTTCACACGCGCATACACTTCAGATACCGGAAGACCAGGTGGCTGGTGTGCATGCTGGAAACTGGAAGATCATCTTCTCGGCACGTGCATGCGCACAGGGCGGCTACACTTCCAGTTTTCAACACTCCCGCGCACGTGAAGATCAGCTGGCTGGCACGCTGAAACCCAGAACAACAGGTGACAGCTCGCATGCCGAGAGATGGCTCTGCATGCCACTTCTGTCACATGTGCCATAGGATCGCCATCACGGGTATAAGCCGTCTCACTGGGATGGTATAAGGCTTCTTGCCTTGAGCAGGAGATTTGACTAGAAGATCTCTGAGGTCCCTTCCAGCTCTATGATTGTTTTCTGTCAGGGACATATTTGCTAAATTGGTGTTCTTCTAGAAGGCAGGTGCTTAATGATGCAGCAAAGAATCAGTTCATGTAGTCTCTTGTTATCTCTCAACCATTGTTCAAGCTAAAAGCTACCAGAGCTAAATCAGATCTCTGTTAGTAATCAGATCTGGTGTGTCAGGGTTGGCTTGAAGACATCATAGATCAAACCCCGCTCCTATTATTACTATCAGCTATTAGTCACCTGTTATTACTATCAATCAATCAGGCGGCTGATGCA